CATACATACATACATACATACATACATACATTATTACACACATATGTTCATACATGCATGCATACATACATACATACATAAAAATAAATGCTCACACACCACAAAAGAATATAATCAGTAATCATAAAGAAAAAATCGGAAGTCAAGGGTACATGTAGGCAGGTGTGAACGAGAAAAAAAGCAGACTGGTTGGCGGGTCAATAAACGTGATTAGCTTGTCCAGGAGCGTGTAGGCGTGACACGTGAGGCGGCGTGCCAAGGATGCATACGCAGGGGTCAGATAAATCACGACAGCCCTGTGGAACGTGTAATAAGACTTGGCTCGCGCCACCGTTTAATTAGCGATTGATTAGATAGCGGCGGAAAGATGAATGCGCCACGAGATAGCGCGTGATTCGATGTAAAGCGTTGTTTAATCGCGATCGGGATTAACGCGCGCGTACCCTGTAAATGAAATACAGCCGAGTCTCTATTTTTCCCAGATAAATTGAACCTGCCCTGTTTAGCGTTTGACGAGTTTATTCGCCACGGGAAACCGGGTTAAAGCGGTATACCGTCGAGGATCTGTCGATGGCAGCCCCTTCGAATGTGGACTTTTATGCCTTGGGTGAGGAATTTATTTTAAATGGGATTGGGAATTTATTTTATGAATTGTGTTTGGAATTTTCTAATCCTGAAATTGAGGTATTGGTGAAGTTCCAGATCACATCCTTGAACTTCTGAAACCACATATTCATAAATTTTCAAATCTTCTTTCTAAACTTCTAAAATCCTTGATTGCCAAATTTATATATCTCCAAAACTCAATATTTTAAATCCTTATATTTTCTAATCCCTGGAGTCCCAAATTCCTACATCCCCAAATTCCTGCACCCCCAAACATATTCATAAATTTTCAAATCTTCTTTCTAAACTTCTAAAATCCTTGATTGCCAAATTTATATATCTCCAAAACTCAATATTTTAAATCCTTATATTTTCTAATCCCTGGAGTCCCAAATTCCTACATCCCCAAATTCCTACATCCCCAGATCCCTATGTCACCAAACTTCCAATCCGCCAAATCCCTACATCCCCAAATCCCTATGTCACCAAACTTCCAATCCTCCAAATTTCTACATCCCCAGATCCCTATGTCACCAAACTTCCAATCCTCCAAATACCTACATTCCCAAATCCCTATGTCACCAAACTTCTAATCATCCAAATCCCTATATTCTCCAATCTCTGGAGTCCCAAATTCCTACACCCCTAATATCTAAAATCCCAAATCCCTAGCCCCCTAAAATCCCACATCCTCAAATACCTACATCAGCAAATTCCTCAATCTCCAAATTCCTCCTTCCCAAAATCCTTAAATCCCCAAATTCCCAAATTTCCAAACTCCACCCCTCTCAAACCCCCAATTTCCCAAATCACCCTCCAAATTCGCAAATGTGCAAACAATCGAAATTAAAACGAAAGGTGCAAATATTTGCAGCAGCGAAGTCCTACAAACTCCACAAAAGTTGTCTGAATCGTTCCAATAGCTTCAAACGATTTACTTGTTCTCGCAAAGGGGTGTAAATGGTTGGAGTCCCGGTATAGGTCCCTGGGGGGTGTGACAAAGCGTAAACGTTCAAATATTTGATCGAAGTCCCCGTAGAAAGATTTGAAAATTATAAATCAACATCTCGAAATGAATTATAGGTATTTTTCGAACACGTTTCTAATTGATTCCGGATCGGAGCGCATCAGCTGTTGCGGCACGAGTTCGGTCGTACGGTTATATTACGCGATGCCACTTAGAAAGTTTGCAGGTTGGAAGGGTGACAATGGTCGGTAAATAGGACACGAGCGACGAGTAGTTTCGTGAAACGCGGAGCATCTGTCCGCGAAACACCGCACGAACCAATTTCGATATTGTCACGATCGGTGCTTCGAACTTGTTCGTTGCAATCGGAATTGTGATCCATTGTTTGCGACTTCTGATGTGTTTACATTTACTCGATGGATGTAACAGCAGGAATCTGTCAGGAGCTCGGAACTTTGACAATGTGGACACTTACTGTGTACCCATCACTGATGTATGTGATCGCTGATAGAAAATTAGTGTTCATTTCTTCTACTACACTTATGTTACTCAAGGAAACCCTAAGTTCCACGAGATCGTATCTGCTATTCCCGTTATGTTGCCACGTTTACTCGAACTTCGCACACTGGAAGTGCTTCCTCGTTATAGTAGGATACTCAGCTTTGTGAACTCGTAGAATTTTCGTTTCCTCGAGATGTGGTCTATAGGAATATTATTTATAATTGATTTCCATGTATCGAAACGAAGGAGAATGTCTAAAGTACTTGGACGTTATTAAATTTTGCATAGAAAATATTTGAAATAGTATAAAATGAAGAGAGAGGGCTATGAAGAGTTTGGGGGAGGAAGAAGAGAAGGAGCTTGATATCGGTGCGGAGTGGGCCATTAGGAGTTCGGCAAGAGAGAAAACGCTGAAAGACACGGTTGGCATGGGTCAGTAGACAGGACAGGAAGGCCAGCGTGATATTCGATAGGAGAGATCGCGTGCTTGGGGTGGCTGGTGCCACCCTAACGTGGCACGTGGGGCGCTACCAGGTGTTGCCTAGACGTCGGGTCGATGCCGATCGTTGGCGCATGTGCGTCCTCCCCTCTCGCCCCTCCACGAGCTTGGCTAACCCTCGCGGACCTTTGCACCCCTCCATATAGCCGACATTCTCGTTTTCTGCCTCCGCCGCCCTCCGCTCTTTTCTCCCTTTTTGCACGAGGGGAGATAGAACCACCGTGCACCCCTTGCCTCCCTTCGTGGCCGCTTCGTTTCACCCCCAACGCGCACCAACACACGCGACGAGCTACCAACAAGTTCGCGTCGCGTATCGGCGACATAGCGTCACCACTATGCAGCCAATCTTCCATAGGAATCACCATCGGCCTCCCCCTTGGGAGTTTACACACTCGTCGCGAGGCTAGGAACGAGGCCGGTGCCCGTGGCACCCTAGCCAGCTGTTTTCCCTTCCGTTTTCGATGTCTACATTCGACACGGGCTCGAACCGTGCCACGACCACCTACCTCGCCGTCGTTTCGGGGCTTGTTTTTTGCCCGGCAGAGTTCAGTAACCTCCTTCGGACACGGCCGGATCCGAACGAGCTTCCGTTTGCCTAGATTTATGGGCAGACCGCGGGCTGGGAAATTAAGCTGATCGGGTTACGGAGATAGGATTTATGGAAGTCATCGGATGATCGGTTCTTTCTGGAGCAAGTTGTTCCAAGCACATAGCGGGTTACCATAAATCTGGGTTTGCGCAAACCGTACACGAACTCGTGCACAAAGGGGAGGAGAGAATAGCCCTCCTGACGCACACCCTCGTCGCGATGCAGCGGTGCCGCTAACGACCCGCGTAATTTCACCGATAAACCCGTATCGATCATCCGTTCCGAAGCGAGTTCTTGTTGCGTATCCAAAACGCGTCGGTATTCCCGTTCTCTCGCGAGACTCGGGGATAACGGAGTCACCTTCGAATCGCCGTCCCATTCCAGAAAGCGACTCATCGATTCAGAGTCAGCCAACTGTGCCTACGCCAATGGGGATGCACACACGCGTGTACCGCGCAAACGTGAAGCCCGCGCGCGCACGCAATCAAAAGGCCTGCAGGAATCGAGAACTAGCATCGGCACCCTCGAGGGGTTGCGCAGCCATCCCTAGCTTCGGTATAAACCATCGGCAGCAGCAGCAGCAGCAGCAGCAACGACGGCGGCGGTGGTGAGGATGGTAGCGACGGCAGCGCCACTCCACGATGCTGACTCAAGGGGAGAGCCGCAACGGAGGGACTAGGGGGGTTCCCGGTTCGACGAAGGCCAGAGAGAGACGCAACGAGGAGGATACGCGCCAGACGAGGACGGCGAACAAACGTACGGTAGGGGATAAGCAGAGGAGCGGCAGCGCCACCGACTAAACAGTCGCACCCCGTCGTTGTGATCGTATTCGAGGGCACCCC